GTAATGTATGTTATAAATTTTAAACCCATTTTATTTTCATTTATTAATATATTTTTTACATTTCTCTTTGATGATTTTCTTTATTCATTCAAGCAGTACTTAGGCTGATAAGGCCTAATGCAAACAAGGTCTTGTCAGTAAAATGAAACCTGACAGGGTCAAGTGCAAAATGATTTAATTAAGCCTACTTCTTCTTATTTTACAAAAAATATTTCTTTTCCTATTGTACTCAAAGGAAATATTAAAAAATCAAGACTGTACTTGTGGTTGAAGTTGTTTATAAACAACTTTACATCTAGCAACCTATCACCAACTTAATAAAGTCTCCACTAAATTTGAAGATATGTCTTACACAGTTGAAGAAAAAAAAACAACCTTTCATTATGTGTTTAGATTACTACTCTATGGCTTCTCAAAGCTGAGGCATATGCAGTTACATCACACCATGATAACTGAGTTGAAAATCAGTGATTGGATAACAATGATAAAACTTCAAGGTTCAAATAACAATGATAAATAATGATAACAATGATAAAACTACAAGGTTCAAATTAGTGCTATTTTGTTCAAAAATATTTTGACTTTCCTCCTAGAGGGCTAAACATGCCACATTATGCTAAATAAAATACTGGAGCACTGAAATTAACTAAAAATAAGAACATTATTGTTGTTTTTTAATTCATATGAATAAAGTTAAGTAAATAAATTGTTTTCATGGAATAACTTTCAACTCTGAAGTATTTGTTTTTAATAAGTGTGTGAAAGAAGGACTAGTTTTATTTTCTATAGCTTTGTTTAATTCATTGGTGCAATTTTCCCTCAGGGGGAGTATGAAATTTGCATCTCTGAGTGGTTAATCAAAACATTAAATCTCATCCAGAACTATGACACAAAAACATTACATACACATTTAAATTTTCTTACTCGGCATGCCTAAAGGGTATTTCACTCAATGTAATTGCTTTCCATAAGCAATCAAGACCTGGCATGGCTAGTGTACCAGACTGGGTATCAAACAGTCCATGGTTCATACAACATTGTTGCAAGATAGAAATTGCACTCTGCATCTTGAGACCCATGAGTGCATTATAAGGGTTATGTTCAAACACCATTATACAATTAGTGACCTATGATTTAGTGTTATATGCTCTTTAAATAGCTACATTCCCTCTTGTCTATCAGTTAAAAATTGGGAGAAGCTAATGCAGATAGCCCTTGTGTAGCTTTGCATTATTATCCAAAATAGAACAAACCCATAAGAAATCCACATTAACCAACTACCTATAGATTGAAATCTTTTTCCACATGTTTCATGATAATTAATTGGTATTGGTAGTTTTGTATTTACATGGTTGTGGTTAATCACCAGTTATATATGTAAGTATTAATTTATTCAGTGCTAGAAATTTTCCTAGAAGATGGCGCTACTTGAAAACAACTGAAATAATTACAGTAGATGAATATTCCTTACACTGACACCAGGGAGAGCTCCAAATAAGAATTATTTAAAATGTTACATATACACTGTTAGTAGATGACCAAAGACAATATTAGAAGACTGTCAAAAACATTGTGGTGAACACGAAAAAGGGTTGTTGACCAGATTTTCTATTCATTGTTCTTATATTAATGATCATTAATTTTGTGAATGACCTAAACAAACCTTAGAAACCAAACTTTTTACACGTGTATATACATATATATTAATGTTATCTCTCGGGCATGTTACAGGTCGGCTACTTCCCCCTGGCTTATGTACAAGAACTTTCAGAATAGCATGAAGAATGAACAACACGTCTAGTCTGCATGTGGTACATTATTTTATATGCTCATGTACAAGTTTTCTGGCTCTCCTGATCTTCAAGTTTAGCTAATAGTACATGTAGGTAACAATACTTATAGCTATATTTGTATATAACATTTAGTATAATGTTTATGTATGTGCTTCTTATATTTCCTTTGTGGCATATCCATTTATCAGAGTTAAATTACACTTTATTTGTAAATTTTTATGTTGTTATAGTTTATGGAGGCCATAAGTTAGCTTCAAGTGAAGTTGTTTCGTAAATATTTGTACATATGTTGTAGGTCCTGCTGCTGTAGATAAGTAAAATTTGAGCCTTTTTATATACATAACCTGTGTTAGACCCAAGATTTTATATACATAACCTGTGTCAGTCCTAAGGTTTGCATACATTACCCATGTCAGTCTTAAGGTTTGCTTACATTACCCATGTCAGTCTTAAGGTTTGTATGCATACCCGTGTCAGTCCTAAGGTTTGTATGCATAACCCGTGTCAGTCCTAAGGTTTGTATGCATAACCCGTGTCAGTCCTAAGGTTTGTATACATAACCCGTGTCAGACCCAAGGTTTTATATAAATAACCTGTGTCAGACCCAAATTTTTATACATATAACCTGTGTCAGGCCCAAAGTTCTGTATACATAACCTGTATGTGATGCTAGGGTTTGCATAAATAACCTGTTTCAGACGCAAAGTTTGTATATACACATTCTGTGTCAGATCTAAGGTTTTATACATCTAACTTTTGTCAGACCAGAGGAGTTATATAAAAGTAAATAGTTATTTGGGTTGACTGGTAAGGTGTACATCATATATTGATGTCATCTTTCTAAACTTCCCTTGAAGTAAACTTGTAGAAAGTGATTTGTATATTTAGATAACTGGGTAACTGTATATTTTCAACACAGTTTAATGCCTGGATAACTTTTGGGTATTTGACAAGAATTTGTTGCAGAGTTTATAAAAAAAAATGGTGGTAACCCATTTCATGCAGTGTTTTTATGTTTAGTTTATTGCCTTAGAATTATGATTTAAAATTCTCCACAAGTGTTATAGTGAACAACCAATGTGCAAAATCATTTTCGTAAAATTTCTTGTTTTAGGTGTAATAGTTGGATATATCAAGTTATTTCGGGAACATATAAACTTGCATTTTACATGTACAGAAGATGTAATAATTGGTTATATTTTATACATTTATTTTTGCTTTTCATTACTGCATTTTTCATGTTTCTCTTACATTTAAGTATCCGTTATGCCAAGAATTTAATTTAAAAATGTAAAAGTACATTTATATATATTGTGCAGCATTTTGAAAGAGGACAAAAACTTATTAAGATTTCCTAAAAAGTTTAAATCATATTTTATTTTTGTAGTTAAGAACTCCCAAGTCAATATTGAATTATAAATGTTTTATTCTACTTAATTTATTAAATCTTACAAAGGATGGGTATAAACAATACCTGAATATGGCCTACTTCCAAATGGGGTATGAATTTTTTCTTCTCTGTAAACATCTTCCTAAATACTTCAGTATCTTAGCAAAGAGGAGTTGTTATATTAATAATGAGAATCCACAATGTTTTCAATTAATTATAAATGACCTGCTCAACCTTTGTTTTCAACTACTTTGGGATAAGGATGTAAGTTGATAAAACTACGTAACTATGCACAAACATTATGTCTAAAGTGTTGGAATGGGTGCTCAGTAATTATTTCCAGAATGAGAAGACATAATGTTTATACTTAAACACATGTAAAGTTTCTTTGGCTAGCAAACAAAATCAACTTTCCTTTGAAAGTAACGGAGGACAGTGAATGTTTAACTACTGTAACATGCATATAATCCCTTTCCTGTACCTACTAACATCGTTCAGTTAAGAATTCACCAGAAGATAGCTGCAGACTTGTAAAAGAACATACCATTTTAATGAGATCCATTAAGATCTTGGTGAACAAAGCCTCCATATAAAAAGAGTGCTTTGTTCTTTTACAAGCAGAAACCACAACTATAACGAAGTCAGTTCAGCATGCTTATTTTATACATATATCATTTTACTATGTTTCTGTAGTTAAGTTGTGAATCCTTGTTCAAAATTAAGCATTTTTACTCATCAGGTGGCCACGTTAAGGAGAAACATTTTGTGTTACTTTTCAACTGCCACTCAGTCTGTGAACGAGGTGTTTATCATCAGCTTTCTAAGCTTGGTTTGTAACTAGTGGAAAATAATTACTGAAAGTTAGCCAACATAGAAAAATATGAAGTTTCAAGCATTGTTCATTACAACAGGCTTCACATTTTATGTAATTGTGCCAAAAAAAGTCTAGTTTTCCTACTGCCATGGGAAGTATGGCTGACTTAATATTTCTTAAGTGAAATGTCGGAGCCTGTTATGTTCAAGTATTGCTTGTAGACTGATCCTTTGCTAGACATGGTTATCATGCTAATAAAACTTTAAATGTATATAATTGTGTGAATTTTAAAAAGCTTTAGTGAAATAAACTTCATCGAAACATTTAAATTAGCTCTGTGAAAATATCATTTATTTCTCTATACGAATTAGAATACAAAAGATATAATGAACAATGGACGGAAAGAGCTACCTATATCAAATCAAGGAATGAATGTTTGGAAGCTTTCGGGTTTAAAAGCATTTACATTAACTTCAAGATATTACTTATATAAAGTAGGAGGATGCACATATGAAGGGAGAAAAAAAACACAACAGCATGAGGTTTAGATACTTCATAGTCTACCAGCTTCCATACAGTCTGTCAGAGTATCCATATTCTCAATGAGGTGAACTTGGCTAGATGGTGCAAGATTTAATCTTCTGTGAGTCAACATCAAAAAGAGATACTTTTAAGTATATTAAAGAATCACAGTGGAGCTACCTGTACTTAAAGTCCTGCTTCACAGGCTGCCCATAAAATACTTGCATTCAAATTTCATGATACAAAAATAAAACAGAAATGATAACCTAGTTTGTTACTTCTATTACGTTAACCAAAAATTCTTATTTTTGGAAACATTCATTCCAAAAAATACTCAACACAACTACAATTAAATTATTACATAGAAACTTCCTAAGTTTTATCTATCCAACACCGGATAAAAAAAAAAATCTTACGATACAAGTTGTCATTATAAAATACCATGTATTTAGAGAAACTTGAAATCCATAGTTATACAGTATGAACCAAGTTTGGGCAATTGGTGTAGCTGTCAAAACTGTTGTTTGGAATTTTGCTCCAGTACTTACAACAAATGAAAAAAACCTATTAGAATCCTACATTTACCCCTATCTTCACAAAATTTGGTAACACATCAGTTGTATTGTAATTTTGTATAGGAACAACACAATTCTTAGCAACCTACTTAACATGCCCAGATGCAATATAAAAAAAATAAATATGAAATTCATGATTCTTGTGAAATAATTTAACAGTGACAGTCATTTCTGATTACTGTCATTTAGAACTTAAACTCATCAGAGAATACATACACTTGTACAGTAGGATTCAGTTTAATATTTTTTTCTTTTAAAAAACTTCAGATTAACATATTGTCGTGACCATTGTGATTAAAGAATAATAATAAAACAATCCTGTTTAAAAAATTACATAGCATACAATACACTTTCTAGCTTTTTATATCTATTATGTTAAAACATTTTCCCAAACTAGTCCACACACAATTTGGTTTCCAGATTTGAATGTACCTGCATGCTTTTTTTTGTTAATTGGTTATACAAATGTAAAGATCATAAGGTAATATTAACCCAAGCTTCTTTTTCAAACAGAAATATTTGGTGGACCAGTACAGTGAAAGAACAACATGTATATTGCATTCAGTGACTATTATCTATGCACCAAAATGGGGTCAGGATGCCCCAGCTTATTAAGGCTAATTGGATTACCCTGCCAGATTATCACTGATCAGTAAAAAACACAAAATAAACCTATTTCTTTACATAAGTATTTTGTCAAAAAAAGTGCTCTCTTTGAAACCATAATGGTGGGCCAAATGGTCTACCAGTTTAAAACTATATAAAAAATTTTGTATTCCAAAAAGGTGGAGTAAGGCAAATTATCAACAAAAGTTCTATTAAAACTTGTTGTTTTTGTTTGTTCCAGAAAAATTAAAGATTAAATAAGATTATTACTACTTAAAATTCTTCTTGTGATAGAAGTTAAATTTACTGAAAAAGCTAATTTCATTCTTAAATCTATTGATGATTTACTTTTCATAGAACTTACTGTTACTAAACAAGCTAAAGGTATTGCAAGGGCTTCTTACAGTTATTGCCAAAAAATATGTTCTAATACTTACTCTTTAACATTTTAAAAACAAAAGTGTAGTGCTAGAGCAAGGAGTGACTGAACCCAAATATGTAAACCTAAAGTCATTATTCCAACATTGTAAATTATTTCTTAATGAAGTCAAAATAGAAATAAAATATACATTTGAAAGAACCATCTTTATTTAATATGGGTGGTCAAGTATTTTAATGTAAAAATGGGTTTACATCACGTATCTCAAATTAAATTTTTTATTGGATGTAGCTTTCAAAAAGGGTCTAAAGCTAGCTCGAAAAAAAAAATGGACGCAAGATTAACATAGTGTAAACATAATTTATATTAAAATTATTTTTCATTTTGTTTATACTTGACAATGTTTTCCAGATTTCACAGCAGTTTGGCAGTAAATTGAACTTTTGTTCTATTTGAAGAAAGTTCAGTCAATGATTTGAAATAAAAATACAAACATTTCACCTTACAGTTTGGCAGGCCAACTTTTAGCTACGATTAGGCCTAACATTCCCTATACTCACATCATAATGACCCTCGTAAAAAATACTTTTCATTTTTACATAAAAACCTACTTAATCAGCAGATATGGAGGGATTGTATTGAAGGGCATCCTTTGTAATAGTTACAGAGTTTTGCTCCCACAACCTTACAACCAAAATATTGATCCACAAACAAGAGATTTACATTATCTACATTCTAAAACATCTTTTAGTTTTAAATTCCTAGTTACAGCTAAAAGCAATGATTGTGATTTTAAAGTAAATAACATCTGAAGGATTTTGATTTGGCAAAACAATCATGATTCTGTATCACTGAAAGATAGAAAAAAATATATATTACTTTGGTATTTCTACATTTTTGTAACCCTATTTCAACAAGAGTTAAACAGCATTTCATCAAGGCATTCCATATGATAATTTTAGTTTACTTGACCTTCTTGAGAATTTCAACTTTTATGTAAACCTACTCAGCAGATTACAGTCCAGTCTATTATTAAGTTAGGTCAAATCAAATATCAGTCATTTGTGAACTTTAAGAAATGCTGTGAACCATTATTTCATGATCTTTAAAGAAAGAGGATTTTCCTGATTTTGTAGACTTGCCTTGTTTTAAGAAAGTGTAAAACAAAAACAATCAAAGCAGTAAAAACACAATAATATCTCTGTTTACTTTTATATGGTATACAGATAATCCAAAAAATATTTTTGTTAAGCTCTACATTTTTCCTTTTTTTATTACTAAGGCACAGTGCATAGAGGCATACAAGTGGTTAAAACTGACTTCCTAACTACAAGTAGATCAATCTCTTAAGAGTACTTCCTTATTCTTTAATTCTTGCACTTTTTACTTCTTTTTCCCATAAACGTTTATGATTATCAGAATACAAGATTGTCAACTAAATAATGCATTAATAGTTATCCAATTTAGAGAATATATAAAATCAAAATATTTAAGACTTTTAATGGATAAAAACACTTGTATAAATATAGAGGTAAGAAGCAAAAGTGTAATGAATTTGGTCCATATCCAAATTTATGTTATTAAAGAAATAACTCATTGTAAATATGAGCCACACTTATAATGTACATGGGAATATTTTATCCCTGGCTTGTCTGGAATGCTTGTTATTGTTGATCAGATTCAACAAAAAAATTAAACATGTACACATTTCACAAATGATTTTTTTCTGTTACAATTAAGTAACTCACTAACAGTAGTTTAATGTTTTAAGCATTAGTAACAAGAGAACACTCAACAGTTGACACAAATGCAACAAATACTTCTAAATTTGATTATAATTGTAACAAGAAACCTTGAGAAACAAGTTAAAGCATTTCCATTCTTAGTTTGCAGAACACTATAATGAAGAATTATATTTTATGAAAATGAAACTGTACAGTGGAATGTATTGAGGAAAAAAATCAATAAAACATAATTTCCTTTTGGTATAACATGATATCTAAATACACTTACATATAAATATCTAATGTTTAATTCATAAATATCCAATATCTGTTATAAGATTTATTGCAAAATAATAAACCACATACACCCTCTTGCATTTTAAGACTTTGGTCTGTACTACGAAGCACAACCTAAAAACCTTCTGTTACACCACAAGTTCAAAAACTGGTCCCCTGTGTTGGTTGTTTGACTTTGTATGGAACTTTACTGTGTTTTATGTATATATATATATTTACCAGAAAAATCTATGGATCATTGAGCACAACTGCCATTAACTAACTAAAGGATCATTAAAACATCTCTCTCAACATGTATAGCAAAGAACCAAAGTTAGTTTCATCTGAACAAAAACAGGTCTTTTTCATTTTTATCATAGGTCACAAAGTGACACTGATTACTACATTACCAACTTTAGGACTGTGAAAATAAAAATTTTACAAACGTTATTGCAAGCCACATTTTGATATTATTGTTGTCAACCTCGGTGGAACATTAACCCTTGGAAGACAATGTACAGTAACATCAGTTAATCAGATCAAACGTTCTTCTGGTGGTGGTTTCATTACTTGATTCATCTCAACACGAGAGCCACACATTTCTTGTCGGCTGGGGCTGTAAGTTCCTCTGGTGGCTCGCTTCTTCCGTGCCATCCTCAAGAAGGCTGTTACAGCAATTAGCAAAGACAGAACCACAATAGCCACCACAGTTATGACAATTACCAAAACCAAATTGTTGGGACCACTCTTTCTCTGTACAAAAATATACAGTTGAATATCTGGTTAAACAAATTGTGTACAAAAAAATTAAAAACGTTTGTTATTTTAATTTAAAATTTAAATTTTCTGTAAACAAATTTTCAAGTGTCAAATGTAAAAATTTACAACAACACAAAATTTCATTAAATCCTAGCTTCCCTGATGTAAAATGTAGCATGATGATAATTAATGAATATAAAATACGCAATGAAATAAAGACAAAACAATATATTAAGTATAAGGCTAATCTGATAATTTTAAATACTAATTAGGCAGGTGAAAAAACTACACAAACTTTGGGAACCTCGCAAAATTTTAAGAAACATAAATATCGTTAGTGATTGCTGATAAATTTTTGTTGCTGATTCTGTTACTAACTGTAAACAGAGAATAATGAAAGCTGTATCTGAAACTACAACCAATTTCAACATAGTGTTGTATCATACCTTTTACCCTAAAAATTACACAACATATATAAATATGTGTGCCATGATGATGGACAAATAATTATTACAAAGCCACAAATTAGGAACTGTATAGTAGTTAATTAAAGTGTATGTATTTCTGTGTTAAGTAACAGCTAAAAAATGAGCCACACATGGAATAAAACTCGACTGACCTTAAGTATAAGAAGTTGTAAATACAAAAACGTAGTGCATAAACAGCAAACCAAAAAAAAAAAAGGTTTTCTTTGATTAAAATTTAAGTCATTGTTTGTTTTTAAATATTTACAGCAGGATATATCTTAACTTGTAACACAGCCTGCCAACTTTTTCTATCATGTCTGACAGGGATATTTAATGGTAGAAAAATAAAAGTAAGATTGTGTTTTAACTGGTTAATTTAACAACAAAATTATACTTTACAAAAAAGCTTGCAGTTTCTGGATGAAAAAACTAAATCTCAATAACAGTTAGTAAATTATTTTTTCTCTATATGAACTGAATGAACAAGACAGCTACTTCAAACCTGTGGCCTTCCCCAAGTTTTTTGCTTCTAGCTCAATTAGTTTACAAACAATGAATTTTTGAAGTTTGTCGTGTAGAAAAAAAAAACAATTTCACTTTGTTTTTGTTTCATAATTCTGAAGCTAAGAAACTTAAATGTATCATCTAAAAGCAGGGATTATTTTCTCTCTCACAATCTACTTGCTATAATATATCTTTTCTTCTTTATAAGAATTTTAAATTTCTAAACTTTCAGTTACTGCATCAGTAGCCTTTCTAACATATTGCTTGTAATGATTTATTACAATTTTATTTTCAACAAATTGCACAAGTGCATGAAATCAAATAATCCAATTATGATTTAACTTTGTTTTAAGTCATGTAAAAGAAAAAATTATTACTTATCCAGCTTGTTTATTTTGTTAAAGTATTTTACAAAAACTTCTACTGTAAATTTGGTACTAATTGAATCTTACGATATATTTCATCAGGTATAAGATTAGGTTGGTGGGGACTTTTTTTGAAACATCTGTATAAAATTTTTAACAAGATTACACAGTTTATTTTAATATAAAAAAAGATATGTTTTTTACGTTATGCTACTTTACTTAACAGGAACTGAAAAAAACTAAAAATCACAATAGTGTACAATGAATAAAACTTATTGAACAGTACAAAAACAAGAGCTAGTTTAAATTGTTTTACTGCTTTAACTAGGTTCTGGGCTAAGGGAAGATAATTATTATTTTGCACAAGTTTAAATAAAAGTGTTAAAATGAAAATTATGTAATTCATACGAGAGTGAAATCTCCAAAAATTATCATCAGCTATGAAAAGTACCAAAAGTACAATTGTTAAAAAACAAGTAATAAAGTAACTGATAGGTTAAAAGGTCAGAAAAAACACACACACTGATTTAAACTAACATAAAATGGAAAAACAATATAACCTAGTTTTGGTTCACTGAGAAAGTTCACTGCACCCAAATTTAGATACTATTTTTTTCTTTAATTTCATTTAACTCACTTTACAAAAGGCAGGATAAAACAGGAAAATCTTATTATGTTTCGTTTATTTAGAATGTTTGTCAGTAATACAGTATATTTTACCTTTAATGTTCCAACAGCTCCGAGGGAGGAGAAACAGATGCAATTAGCACAACAAAAAATATTTAGAAACTTTTGCTGCTTTTAATTATTTTTTTTCTAAACCAATTATAACATCCCGGTGTTTCTAAAAGTATTTTGTTTGTGATACCGTAAGATAATGTTTTCCAGCAATAACAACAGAAAATCTGTTGTCACCACACAATTTTATACCTATTAAAATTTAATATTTTCAAATTAATTGTCTATACAATTTTGCTGAAATGCATCTTGCAGTCTGTAGGATACAAAGAGAGCATAAAACTAGATGAAAAAAGTAAACAGACAAATGATTACCTTTGTTTTTCCCTCGCAACACCCTTCAAGACATAAAAATACCAAAACATCCAAATAACAAATGCATTAAGACAGATGAGCAAGATAAAAATTGGTCCTCAAAGTTAAACTACTAACCTCTATCTCACAGAAAGCACCTTCAAAGCCACCAGAGCAGTTGCAAGAAATCTTAGAATGATTAATCATTAGAGAGTCAAAGTTAGGCACACATGTTCCACCATTCTTACAAATGTCTCTATCTTTATAGCAGGGGTTGATAATTCTACAGTTAGGTCCTAAGTACTCTGCAAAGAAAAAATTACAAGTATTATCAAAATAAAAAAAAAAAAAATCCAAAAGTAGCTATTACATACAAATAATAATAATCATTTTTATTTTTGAGTTAGTGTAATTTTGTCTAAACTTCTTTTCAAATTGCACAAATCTTATGAGGATTGTAGTTCAAAACATTATTGACAGGAAGTGAACTGAAGTGATATTTCAACCTAATTGTTATAGTGTACAATTTTAAGGTCTTCTAATATACATAGTCGGTAATATCATGATTAATATTCACTGAATTTTCAATTAATGACTAGTCTTCCAATTCATATACCTAGTGGGTTAGTATCAAACATTTCATAGTAACAACTTCAATAAAACAAAATCTACTTGAATAAAATCAACCTTTGTTTTTTCAATATTGTTTTTAATTTTGATTTGTTAAGACACAATGTCTTTTCAATTACTACTAAATTTTCTAATAAGCCTCTGTGTAATATACAGTTTGAATGCCTTAACCCTAGCTGCTGGGGTATCATTTACTACAGGGATAGCCTCTACTAACTAATTCCAAACCCTGAGTTAGTGTTAACTCATGGTACAAGTACACCTGCAGACAAAATCTCTTAATTCCAAATTTAACTATCACTTGATACCAATACAAGCACACTAGAGTTACTTAATACAGAATTTTAAGCCAAACCAAAATTTGTTACTAACCTTCTGTACAAGTACAAGTGTAGTTCTTTGTCTCAGGATTTAACTCTGTACAACTACCTCCATTGTCACATGGTTTATCCACCAAGCACACTTTTCTAACACTGCAGTTTCTTCCTTTGTAAAAATCACTACAGTTACATCTATAATTTAACTCCTCATCTAGTTTACACTCTCCATAAATGCATGGGTTGTTCTCGCAGTAATTGATTTTAGACGAGCAAGTATTTCCCGTGAAACCCTCCATGCAATGACACACAAACTTGAAAGAAAGAAAAAACTTGAAATTACTTTAACGATAACAGCACCTTACAACAAATATATATGTACTTACTGTTATGTACTTACTTTCAATTAACACCACTGATTACCAGTATGGGAGAAATTAATCAAACATTAATGCAACTATAAGAAATCACAATATTTATCACTGTAATTTAACAAACTTTGAAGGAAGCTTGAATGGGTAATAAAGAAAACTTGTACCTAATATGACAAAACCCCTGTGAAAATGTTATACACTTGTTATTATGTTAAATAAATATATTATCAACATAACTTACCGTTTCATAACCATTCTCAATGTCACTGCAGTTACCTTCGTTATTACATGGAAAGTCTCTACAAGTTCTCTAAGAAGATACACACAAATCAGAAAAAAGCTTAGACTTGTGTTAAAACCTGTCTCTTTATTAGCTTTAATTCTATACTAAGGTTCCTGGAAGAATTTGCAGACTACTTATAAAATAACTTATACATAGTTTCTAGATCAATGAAAACTAGAAAATATTGTACACTTCATATAAGCCTCACAGCAGTAATATAAATTATCGTGATACAGGCAAAAGTTTTATATAGAAATAATACTTTATTATTATTTTTACTCCTAAAGAGTCGACACACAAACACAGAGTAACAAAGGCATGATAAAACCTACAAAAGAACTTTTCTTTTTCACACATAGTATGTGATTATCAATAATACAGATGGTTTCTGTAAGTATTTCACTGAAGCAAGCACTGTATCAAGTTTGCATTTGTATGGTAAAAAAACAGAATGACTGCTGTTCTATATTTTCAAAAGTATTAGTGAAAAATATTATTTCTGAAATTCTTTAAAATTTCTTGAACTCCTTTTATTTTTTCTTTATTAGCAGCCACAGCAATTATCTTTATTTGGCCTATCCTTTCTCGGATAATTTAAACTATCTTTTAAGGCAACAAAACTGATGACCTTGTTATGTGGAAATAATTATTTCTTACGTTACGTTACGTCTAAATTGGCAAATATCAGAAAATAAAAATCGTCATCTGTTAAGACATTGCAAATACGCTGAATTTAAACAACAATGAAACGACTTACCTAAGCTCAAATGCCAAGGTTATTTGTAGACATAAATAACATAGTCGTGATTACATTATTGCAAGTAACAAGTTTAAATAATATCTCACATATCTGTTAAGGCTATACAAGTTTCCAATTACAATATACATATATAAATTACGAACCTTCTCTGAACAATTGTCTCCTTTGTAATAGTCAGTACAATTACATCTGTACCCAATCCCTTCCTCTGAGGTACACGATCCATTGTTTCGGCAAGGTTCTGGCATGCAAAAGTCAACTGTCGTTTCACACCTACAAATAGAGATTTATCACGTTAACTAGAATTCATACACATATGTGAAAGTAATAAGTGTTTACTGCAGAAATCAAAATTACTTCTGAAAACTACTACTAAAATACTTGTTGGTAAATTTAAACTTCTTCAAAATATTTTTTTCTAAGTAACTGAAGATTAGGTCAAGTAAATTCAAATAATTTATCTAACTAAAACAGGTGATGAAAATCAAAAACTTGTAGGAATAAAAGCAGTAAACAAAATGCAGCATTATCAGGAGAAAAACATCTGGCATGCAAATGTATAAACTGTATATGGGGTAACTAACTTTAAGCAATTTTTATAATGCACTGTTTTACAGCTTTGACAATGTTGTTAACACCAACAAATAGCACCTAGATTTAATAATGGTTTACCCTTGGTTAACCTTTTCTTCTTCAAAACCAACAATTAGCACCCACGGTTAATAATGGCTAACTTGATTCATTTAATTTTTCTTCTTGAAAAATAAACAAATAAAATTAAAATAGAAGTGTCAGCAACTTAAGAGATTTGATTACTTCAAAATGAAATGCCTTTTATATGCATTACTTTCTGTAATATTGTATGAATAATTTCATGTTTAACAGCAAAAATACATATTCCATTACTGGCATCTTAACAAGTAACAGAAGGCCAGTAACATTTGAAAACACTAAAATCTTCCATTTCACAAAATAATGGCTAAACCAACAGGTTAACTGTTATACATCACTTTAAACTGATAAAAGACAAAGCTTCTAATCTGTATATAATAAGCTTAACATACCCAAAAATTAAAATTAATTAAAAACATATTATTTAAATTCATTTTGCTTTTCGAATGTGTAGTATAAAAATTGTGAGTTTGGGTTTCTAAAAGTTCTGAAAAACAGTACCCAATCAGTACAGCAATTCCCCAGTTATAAGTAGACACACCAATTTTATGTCGGTCCTTATTTATTTAACTTCTACATCATCAGCAAACTGCATGTTTTAGCTGCAGTAACAATTTAACTAATATCCTCATGATATACCTTATACTTATTACATTACTGGGGACACACCAATACTTATATTTTAAGAATGTCTTACTTTATTAATATATTTCACCATGGGATAACTCAGAAGATATTGACATATCAACCTTGTGGTTCACATTTTATAACTGCTTAAGTTAGTTTTAGCTATAAATTTCCTGATCTGATTATAAGTGCCAAGACTTCACTTTCCACAGTTCGGGTTAGACTATAATTATGAAATATATCAATATGGCAAATTATAACACTGCAGAAAGCCATTATAATACTTAGTCTGAAGTTTTATTCCTCAACATATTACAGCTATTTTTTTTTCAAGGTAAAGTTTTTTTCTTTTTTAAAACTAGACATTAATGTCTATACATATTATGCATGATAGAAAGCATGAAACTGAGTAAAAAAAAAAAACAGCTCGCATATACTTAGCATTTAACAAAATAAGTATTTAATAGTGTAGAATAATATTATCTTATCGAAATTACACAGCCATAATAAGTACAGTTCTCAGTCATTATATTTTTCTAAATCATGCTCAACTGGAGTTCACATTTTATAAACAGTGAGAGCTCAGTTTTCACTAAATTCAAGAGCCCACACATCTGACATTTATTAAAGCAAGGGTGACAGATGTTAATAGTGCACAGAAATTGAAGGGTTTCAACCAACAAAATTTCAAGGAAACTGAACCATGTTTTCATTTCTCAAGAAGGGCTCAAGCTTAAACAAAATCTGATCTTATTCCACAACAGACTAACATGCTAATCTTTTAAGATTTTTTTAAAGCTTCAGCCACATGTATGAGTATGGTTAAAAGATGCAGTTTCAGTACATTAGAAAGAGGCTTCATCAGGACTAGATGAAATCGCATTGGAATGAGCTCAAAAACAGCTGAATAAAATTTTATCAATCTTTCAAGACAAACCACATTTATCTACCTTAACCTAAGCAACTTTGAACATATAACTTACCAGGCTCCACTATATCCATACATACAGTTGCACTGGTATGTGTTATTTCTGTCTTTACATGAGCCATTGTTGTAACAGTCCTGATCCCAGCAAAGAACACACCCAATTTCTACATCAGTACCATCCTCCATAAAAAACTGGTTTGGGCTAGTGTTATTGATCAGTTGTTCAGGAGTGAAAAATGGCAGTAAAACAGTTTCAATTCTAACCTCACCCATACAACCCCTGAAGAAAGAGCTTCTGTTAGAAGACTGTCCCAGGTAAACACTACCTTCATCATTCAAAATATTCTGTAAGCTGATATTTTTAATTTTCTCAACCGTAAGGGTTTCGAGGTCAAGAGAAACTGACGTATTCTGCTCGGTGAAAGTGATATTCAAATCATGCCATTCACCATCTGTTACGAAGTTAGGAAGAGGATCAGATCTATCACTATTATATGTTATATAAACCTTGCCATTTTCTAGGTGTAGCAATAACATATTATTTACGGTCTGAATATGTAGCAGAACACTATCATTTATGGAACGAAATCGTAAACTGATTGTATTATTTAACGATTCTTCTGAAATATTCCACTTATACTTAATCCCCCAACTTCCATTGAAAGCTGCTTCTGTGATACCTGTGAATAATATTAAAATAGTTCAATTACAGATCATGTAAAAAAATATTAATAATAATAAAACAAAAATATTTGGAATATTTTGACTTTTTATGCTACCATATTCTTAAACAACACATTAGGTTTGAGAATTCAATGGAATGCAAGTTGCCTATTAAATGAAAAGGGGACAAAATTTCAACTTTTATACTAAGGCCTTTTTCAAGTCACCTTTGTGAGACACTACATAAGTACTTACAGTAACCCGAAGAAGGTTTATTTATAAAGACAAATGATAACATTAAGTTTTAAAACATTCTGTATGATTCCTCCCTTCAAATCACCTACAAAGCTACCTGAATTGTTCAGATTCAGAATATTGTTTTAATACAAACTTTATTAACATATATTTTGGATAAAGTGAAAAAAATTCCAAACAGCTAACTCTAATTTCCACTATGGTCATGTTGCAAAATTTCACAGCTATGCCAAATAATGGTTTCGACATAGCTCTGAAATTTATGTAACATAACCATATTTGATTATAAGTCATAAATTTAACCAAATATTAAACTTACATTAAAAAAGTTAATGATTAATGTGTTTTATGTCTGAAGTGTCTAGATTTCAGATACAATAACATTTATTAGCTATTTCTTTTCATGAATTCAAATGCAGAATTGGAAAAATACTGCCATTCAGCTGAAAATGGTTAAGAAAAGCCTGGTTTTAGTAATGATAAAGAATCTAAAAAGAATAAGTCCAATTGTCAAAAGCCTAAAGTTACAGTAACAATTTTTATTGAGAAATTACCTTGTTGAGAGAAATCTAAGATGTCAAATAAGAAATGTTTGGTACTGAATTAACCTAACAGACCTTCTACTACCAAATGTAAAAAAATCCAGTAAATCAGGTTGGGGAACTAAATTCAAAACTGATGATACTAGAAGATAAACTGATAAACATCTATTTTTGAAAACAACCATAAAACAATCAGGATTATTTCCACAAGAATTCAAGTTAGAGAGTTTGTTTGTTTGTTTTGAATTTTGCATAAAGCTACACGAGGACTATCTGTGCTAGCCATCCCTAGTTTAGCAGTGTAAGACTAGAGGGAAGGCAGCTAGTCATCACCACCCACCGCCAACTCATGGGCTACTCTTTTACCAACAAATAGTGGGATTGACTGTCACATTATAATGCCCCGATGGCGGAGAGGGCGAGCATGTTTGGTGTGACAGGGATTCGAACCCGCGACCCTCAGATTGTGAATCGAGTACCCCAACCACCTGGCCAAGTTAGAGAGTAAGTACTGAAAGAACAAAGATGCAAAGTTTTGTGAGAGAATCAATGTCCATTTTTTCATGAGAGAAGGAGGAATGATAATTATCATGCAGAAACTGCAGATAATTCAAAAATAAATAAATTTTTAGAAGTATTGCAAAAATATATATATAATCAATAGGGATATGGTGAAGTACAATGTCAGTTCAAACATGGGTGAACTCTTTGTTTTTTTTTTACTTTTGTTTAAAGTTCTGTAAAGAAATAAATAAATAAAAAATTCTACAATGTTAACAGCAGCCGACACAACATGAAGTTTCATAGGGATGTAGCTTCCACTAATTGTTTAAACAAAAATCCATTCCCTACAATAAACTTACCACCTGAAACATGAAAGGCCCAAGATAACCAGCACCACTATTATCAACAAATACTTCTTTGTAACAATAGATAGGCCCTATCAACAAGGTTAATAACAAGTGAACAACTACCATATATTCTACTTGTATTAAATAACTGGAAGGCACAGAGGAATGTAATGAGAAATTTAGAAAACTTAAGAACAATTCACGGATCTGAAAATTTTGTAAGTTTCTTTAGATATTCTTTTTGTTCCAGAAAATGTTTTGATATCTCTTTTGAAAGCTAGAGAAATTTTCTTTTGTGACAAGATATCAAATAAGCTTATTTAAATTAGTAAGTATAGTAGGAAAAATATTTCATGCACTTAAATCCTTAATTATTGAATATTGGTGTTAAGATTATCATACTGAAACAATGCATACAAATAACTCATAACTTTTAAAAATATATAAATATTTATTATATATAAACTGATTTTGACAAAGAACACTGTTTGTGATAATCATGATAACTAGCCTGACAGAGCAAATGATCACTGTTAAATCTTAACTAAATTTTGCAGTGTTTTTTTTTTTATAACATATAGCCAGAATTAATTACTACTCCAATCAGAAAAGTGAAGCTTCAATATAAATATGTTGATGTGCATCAACCAAATTGAAACTAACTGGACATATAAAATAACTTTAGGATGAAAGTAAGTACTTTTGATTTTTTCTTTTTAAAAACAGTGACTCACAACAACGTTTTAGAAATTTCACAACTTTGAAAATGACAGAAATACTAAATCAAATTACATGAAATTTTGTAAGCCCAAACTGTTTGATAAGTTTGTACTATGTTTCATGCTACTTGGTTAAGTATTTGATTTCTTGTTTCTTTATTTCAGATACTCGCAACAGCTACTCGAGGGCTGTCTACACTAGCCATACCTAATCATTAACTGATAGTCAACAGCAAGTCTTGGACTACTCTAACTGGATAATGGGATTTTACTATCAACCATATAATGCACCTGTGGCTCCAAACTGTACACTGCAGTTTTTTTTGCTACTGTAACTGGATGTGAATAATGGAGCTACAGGTTCATACCCTGAAATGCTAACCATCAGGCCATGCCAAAAGAGTTATAGGCAACTGTGCTCTCGCTTACATAAAAATAGTAAACTTTTCTTGAGCACAAAAAAATTACAGTCTATTTATAAACCATACTTACATTCATATCCTCCATCTAGATCATTACAGATGGCTGAATTATCTGGACAAGGGTTGCTATAACAATGACTGACATTTTCACACATTTTTCCTCTAAATGGGTACTGACACTTGCATCTAAGGAGATACATGAACACAAAAACTTTTGAGTATTTTATAAATACAAATATGAAGGAAAATTCTCCTTTATTACTTTTATAAAGTGAATGTTACAAGTGCCAAGAAGTTCTTTAACAAAGTTTTGATTACATATTTCTATTGTGTTTGCAAGATCCTTCTTCTTAGTATTATGGTCTAGATGCCAGAAAAAATGCCAAAGTAATAATTATTTAGTGTTACAGTAATAATGCCACTCAAATATGGCTAACTGGCTTTCTGTTTCATATATGACACAAACGTACATTACAGAACAATAAAGTTAATACTCATCTTACAAGTTTTTTTTCTTTTGTGGAGTCACTCATTTGGAAATTTTGGATAACAGACATGCAATGGTTTACAGTAATTCCTGTAACTGAATCCGAAAATGATATCCATTTTTCTCCATCATGTACAGATTTTTCACAAAACGTCATATGTACT